GGCTGCGGGGGCACCCTGAGGAGGGCAGGGGCATGGAGGGGCTCTCGTTAGTTAGTTAATTGGTTAATTGGTGCGATGCGATGCCCGTGGTGGGTCCCTGCCTGTGCTCCCCTGCCTGCAGTGCTGCCTACACCCCGTGCTTCCCACCAATCACAGCCTGGGGGACTTGGCCCCCCACCAATCACAGCACAGCACGCCTGCCTCCCACCAATCATAGCAGAGCATGCCTGCCTCCCACCAATCATGGGAAGGGGGGGAAACTACCACCAATCACAGCACAGTACACCCACATCCAACCAATCATGAGATAGGGGCAAACAAGGCTCTCATCCAATCACAGCAGACAGGACACAGCTCCCACCAATCAGACTATGAGTGGCAAGGCTCCCACCAATCACAGCAGAGAGGACACAGCCCCCACCAATCACAGCAGAGCGCACCTGCCTCCCACCAACCACAGCTAAAGGGATCCATTTTCAACCAATCCCAGCAGAGATTTCAAACCAATCCTGTCTCCCCTAACCCCAGTGGAGCGCAGCTGTCCCTGACCAATCCCAGCAGAGCAGATCCACCTCCCCACCAATCCCAGCAGAGGGGATCCGCCTCCCCACCAATCCCAGGGGTGCTGTCCCCCTCCCAGCCCAGCTCCAATCCTAGCGTGGCACAAGCCACTCCCAACCAATCAGAGCAGCGCGGGCCTGCAGCCAGCAGCCAATCAGGGCACGGGGGCGGTACCTGTGCGGCGGGCAGGGGGCGGCTGGAAGGCGTAGAGAGGAGCCCCCTCCCCGGCAGCTCCCAGCTCCTCCTTGTCCCCCAGCGAGCGCAGGAAGCCCCGCGGGGACACCTCGGCCAGGATCACCTGTGGGATGGCACCCAGCACCCTCAGCATCCCTGAGAGGGGGTGTCCCCCCACCCTGTGTGTCCCCCCTGTTACCTGCTCCGGGGGAATGCAGCCCTCCCGTGCCACCATCTCCCGCAGGTCGGCCACGGTGCCCAGCAGTGGCACGGCCAGTCCCACCCGCACGAAGCGCCAGCGCTCGCACTGCAGCACCAGGGTGACGTTGAGAGCCCTGGGGACACCACAGGGACATGCTGACACACCTCAGCCATGGGACACTGCGCACTGTGCTGAGACCTGACACCGCTTACAACGACCACTTTGGCCACAACAACCCCCTGCAGCACCATAGGATGGGGACAGGGCCAGGCAGAGAGGGACCTGGGGGTACTGATAGGAAGCTGAACCAGAGCCAGAGGTGCCCAAGAAGGCCAATGGATCCTGGCCTGGATCAGGAACAGTGTGGCAGCAGGACCAGGGCAG